CTGAACTGATGACAAATATTCCAAACCAAACATGGAGATTTCAATGATTAGGACAATAGCCTAACTATTACAAAGGGGTCAGTTCCTTTGAAAAATTGATAACAGGATGTTCTCCCTTGGTTCAAACAACATGTATGGGAATGAAGGGAGACATATCAGTGGATTCAAAGGCACTGGTATGGAAACCTGCTTGGTACAAAAAGAAAGCCAGTGTTAGATTTAAAAATGGGACTTAAAAATGCACTTAATGGGCTAAGTAGCTTTTTGGGGTGATTGGTTTAATATCTAGGATTAAGATTTATAAAGGAAATTAAAATTAATTGTTAGATTATAGTTTTGATTGTTAGATGGAAATACATTTGTGATAATGGAAGATATGTTGTTAGTAAATGAAATAGAATATATTTGTGAACAAAGTAAGAAGGTAAATTTTGGAACATGTCTATTTTAGTTGTGTTAAGTATTTTATAATGAAATGAGGGAAATTAAGGTTATCTGAAACTTAAATATTGGTTATAAAAGGCCAAATTGGAACATGGCAATGGAATTAAGTAAAACTTAAAAACAGGACCTGGATATGTATAAGTAAAATGTCACTGATAAATGTATTGATTGATTGAGCATTAGTTAGAAATGTATTAATATGAACATGATATAATATTTAAGGGAACTAGAGAGGGAATTTCTATTGATGTAACCTGAGATATACATGAATGATTTTGCTTTTGGACTATTGATTACCCTATCACCATGCTGCTTCCTAAGCACCTGGATGTAAAAATTTGAAAAATTAATAAAACTTATTTTATATAAAAAAGGGCATCCCCACTAAAAAGGCATTTTTCTTAGCATGTATTATTGACTTTATTTGTTCTATTTTTTAAGTTTTCCAATTTTTCCAAATGCCCATCTCACCAAACAAACAACTCTGTTAAACACTAATACTTTTAATCTAGCTCAGCAATGAATATGCAAATAACATCCCTCTTTATTACTTTGGGATGCCTCTATTAATATTCAGGCAACTACTTTCTGCACTAATGGAAGCTTTTGTGCCATGAAAATTCATTTTCATTAGCCTGATCCATCAGTACCCTGAACTGAAACAATATTTCAAATGTAGGCAACAAGCTTATATTAACATCTAGAGGATATTCTTATTTCACAGGTCCAAAAAAAGCACTTTGGGATGTTCCACCGTAAATATTACTAGAAAATGTTGCACTCTTTGAGATACTTGAAAGGCTCTGTGATAGTTGCCATAGCCAACTTCTACTGACTGCATCTAAAATAAGAAAATAACTAAAAAAACACCTGGAGTTCTTGTTTACGGTTATCAAGACACGGTCTAACTCTAAGTTAAGGATTAATAATAATAATTATAATAATGATAAAGTTGGAAGGGACCTTTGAGGTCATCTAGTCCAACCCACTGCTCAGGCAGGAAACCCTATACCATTTCGGACAAATGGCTGTCCAGTTTCTTCTTAAAAAACTTCCAGTGTTGGCACATTCACCGCTTCTGGAGGCAGGTTGTTCCACTCGTTAATTGTTCTAATTGTTAGGAAGTTTCTTCTTAGTTCTATTTTGCTTCTCTCTTTGGTTAGTTTCCACCCGTTTCTCCTTGTCTTGCCTTCAGGCGCTTTGGAAAACAGTTTGACTCCCTCTTCTTTGTGGCAGCCCCTGAGATATTGGAACACTGCTATCATGTCCCCCCTCGTCTTTCTCTTCGTTAAACTAGATATACCCAATTCCAGCAACCGTTCCTTATATGTTTTAGCCTCCAGTCCCCTAATCATCTTTGTTGATCATCTCTGTACTCTTTCTAGAGTCTCAACATCTGTTTTACATCGTGGTGACCAAAACTGGATGCAGTATTCCAAGTATGGCCTTACCAAGGCACTTACCAAGTGGTATTAATACTTCATGTGATCTTGATTCTATCCCTCTGTTAATGCAGCCTAGCACTGTTGGCTTTTTTGGCAGCTGCAGCACACTGCTGGCTCATATTTAAATGATTGTCCACTAGGACTCCGAGATCCCTCTCACAGTTACTACTATTGAACAAGGTACCCCCTATACCACAGGTCGGCAACCTGCGGCTCCGGAGCCGCATGCGGCAATTTGAGCCTTCCCCTGTGGCTCCCAGCCTCCTCTGCCTTTGCAGAGAGAGACAGAGACAGAGAGAGGCAATTGCGCTTCCCTGCTTCTCTCTCTCTCTCTCTCTCTCTCTCTCTCTCTCTCTCTCTCTCTCTCTCTGTGTGTGTGTGTGTGTGTGTGTGTGTGTGTGTAAAAAAGAGAGTGCACTCACAGTGTTCTCCGAGGAGCTGAAAAGCTTTCTGGGCGGAGCTCCTCCCTTTGCTGCGTCTCTGCAGGAAGCAGGAAGGGCAGGAGAGAGCTAGCTAGCTCAGCTAGGCTGACTCAGGAATTCTGGGAGTTGAAGTCCATGAGTCATAAAAGAGACGAGGTTGCTTACCCCTGAGCTTGTTGGACAACAGCTTGAAGCTTGCCAGGTGAGCAGCAGATAGGAGGGGGGGAGAAAGAGAGAGAGAGAGAGAGAGAGAGAGAGAGAGAGAGAGAGAGAGAGAGAGAGAGAAAGGGAGGGAGAGAGAGAGGAAAGAGAGAGAGAGAGAAAGAGAGTGGGGGAAGAGGAGTGGCAGACCAAGGGCAGATAGAGAGGGAGGGAGAGAGAGAGACAGAGAGAGAGACCCTTTTGACATCTAAAATGAAGATAACACTGCATATATCATTTTTTTACCTGTGTGTGTATGTAATTTTATTCTCTTAAAGCATTCTCTTGGTGATCATTGTTTTAATAGTATGGATATTCCCAAGAGTGATATTTTTACTTTTATTTTTAATGTGTGTGTGTGTGTGTGTGTGTATACACACACATATACACATATATACACATACACACACACACACACACACACACACACACACACACACACCTATAATAAAGGTAAAAAAGGATATATGCAGTGTTATCTTCATTTTACATATCAAAAGGGTTTTGCGGCTCCCGGTGTTTTGTTTTTGGTGGGAAACGGGTCCAAGTGGCTCTTTGAGTGTTTTGGGTTGCCTACCCCTGCCCTATACTATACCTGTGCATTTGGTTTTTCTTGCCTAAATGTAGAACCTTATTTTTTTCACCATTGAATTTCATTTTGTTAGATAGCGCCCAGTGTTCAAGTCTGCCCAGATCCTCCTGTATCCTAAGCCTGTCTTCTGGAGTGTTGGCTATTCCTGCCAGCTTGGTGTCATCTGCAAATTTGATGAATTCCCCATCTAGTCCCTCGTCCAGATCGTTGATGAAGATGTTGAAGAGCACTGGGCCCAGAACAGAGCCCTGGGGCACCCCACTACACACTTCCCTCCATGTAGATGCGGTTCCATTGAGGACCACACGCTGAGTATGGCCGGTCAGCCAGCTAGCTAAAAAAGTTCTTCTTTTTTAAAAAATCAAAATCACTCGTATTTTTAGTGAAGCTTTTAATCTTTTAATGTTCTTTTAGCTGAAATTGTCTTACACTCACTCTCTGTTATTCATTTTAATCCTTTAGTTTTATCCTGAGGCCTACTGCTGAGTGAAGCTTTTTATCTACATTTTCTTACATCTTTGGGCATACTGTTATATTTGCTTTGTACTGCTTCAGGAATGCAATAAAAATTGATTTAATTTGATTCACGGACCTTGGGCTAGCATTCCATGTACTATCCTGCCAATTTCAATGAGAAAGTTAGGGAGCTTGTTAGGATCTGTATCAAAAGCCAGGTGGGTGACGTTGGAACAATCCTCTCTCTTAGTCTAAACCATTGTTAAAAAAGGTGATTAATAAACAAAGGCCTTTTGATACTAATGTTTTTTTAAAAATTCCACACAGATCATTTTGCAAAAAGACAGAATAGAATTTGAAAGTGTAGTGACTGGGCAAATATTAAATATTATAGTTGTATTATCCAATACTATGTTAGAATAACAGAATAGAATAACAGAGTTGGAAAGAACCTTGGAGGTCTTCTAGTCCAACCCCTTGCTCAGGCAGGAAATCCTATACCATTTCAGACAAGATTGTCCAATCTCTTCTTAAAAACTTCCAGTGTTGGAGCATTCACAACTTCTGGAAGCAGGTTGTTCCACTGATTAATTGTTTTAACTGTCAGGAAATTTCTCCTTAGTTCTAGGTTGCTTCTCTCCTTGATTAGTTTCCATCCGTTGCTTCTTGTCCTGCCTTCAGGGGCTTTGGAAAATAGCTTGACACCCTCTTCTTTGTGGCACTCCCTGAGATATTGGAACACTGCTATCATGTCCCCCCTCGTCCTTCTCTTCACTAAACTAGACATACTCAATTCCAGCAACCGTTCCTTATATGTTTTAGCCTCCAGTCCTCTGATCATCTTTTTTGCTCTTCTCTGCACTCTTTCTAGGTGAAGGTGAAGGTGAAGGTGAAGAAGGCGAATGATCAGCCAAACTTTGAGACCTTTGAAAACTTTCTTTTTTGTTTAATATTAAGTAATTCCTGCTTAAACATTTTAATAGAGCAAAGAAATAGCATTGGGTTAGGGCAGTGATGGCAAACCTTTTAGAGACCGAGTGCCCCAAAACCGCTCTATCCGCCCCCGCACCAGCCCACCTGCTCCACCCTCACCCTTCCCACCCTTCCCACCCGCAGGGCCACCCACTGCCTCCATGGCCCACCACAGATTGTCCGGGTGGCCCGGACCATGCCCTCCACCCATGCCCTGCAGCATCATCTGCACACAATGGGGTTTGAGGGCAAAGTCTTGTCCCTGCTGCCCGGCTGTCATGTCCTTGGCTGTGCTGCTATGTGCGGGACGCACCCAGGGGCAACTCTCCTCCAGGGAGGCTGCTGTTGAGGAGGGGGCCATGGGGGAAGGTGGGGCTGGGGTGATGGCACGTGTGCCCACAGAGAGGGCTCTGAGTGCCGCCTCTGGCACACGTGCCATAGGTTCGCCACCACTGGGCTAGGGCTTACCTACAGTGCCTTTTGGGCATGGCTGCTTAGCCATCTGTCCTTGTCGGGTCTTGAACCACATGATCTCACGAGCTTCCACAGTTTCACAACTCTCTGCACCAACTGCAGGCAACTGGGAAGAGGCAGGTGGCAGATGTGTTGTCATTTCATTCGGACTATCCAAAGCTGGAGAAAGTGTAGTTGTGCTTCTGTTCCTTCTACCCAAGGCTGATGCAGTGGTTGTGTGTACAGTACTGCTTGTAATAGCTCTGTTTGTTGTGCCTGTGGTAGTACCACCCAGGCCTATTCCTCCAGCTGTTGATGCTATCAATTCAAAGCAAAAACAAGTTAGTGGCAATTCCTATGTTTTTTGTTCCTCTTCCTAAACATGAAATGTTCTGCTAGAGTTGAGAATATATAAATGATTATTTAGGGAATCTAAGGAAATTAAATTACCAGAAAAAATTAAATCCAACTTAATACAATAGAGAAAAAATAATGTTACAATAATGTTAAGATAAGCACATCTACTTGACATTCGATAGGAATACAGTTACATTCAAATTATAATTGTACATTTGTGGTAAAACAACTGGGGTGACTTTGGACAATACATGGGACGATTTTATCATTGCATACAACTTATTTTTAAAATCTTGTGATGTTCCATCTTTGGAGTTTTCAAGAAAAGACTGAACTGCTGTTTGCTCAGGGTGGCATGAGGACTAGTCTAGATGACCTCCACTGTTCCTTCCAACTCTGTGATTCTATGGTTCTATAATCAATACTTGAAACGTGTGATGAAGCTAAATTATTTTTAGACTACTCTGTTTTTTTTCTTTCTGAATCCAAAGGAATGAATTTATCTTGAAACAAAGTTTTCAATATTTATTGAAATTAGTAAGAGAGTGAAGAAGAGCAAACAGATGATCAGCAATGGAATTCAACAGGAAAAAAAGACAAGGGGGTGAGGGAACCTAATCTCCTTAATAGCTACTGATTACAAGGAATGTATCTTAATTCCCATTGTTGGGAGAACTGAATGACTGCTCCCTGCTAAATGAGTTAAGCCTGCTACAGAGAGTTCTGGTGTAAAAATTCAGTAGCAGGAAGTACCTAATGAACTTTTCCTCAAATTGAATATTGCTTCATTAACCTGAAAGTAGTGATTTAATAAACAAAAGTGAAGATAAATAGACAGTACTTTAGAGTCAAGACTTACAAAACCTGAGAGATGGTTGAGTTCCTCCATGAAATAAATGTAAAAATAAATAATGCTTGGGCAAAAGCTCAGAAGACAAAACTGTATTAGATTAATAAAGGAGGACAAATAAAGGAAAGACAAATAAAGGAAGACAAAACTGTCTTTTTTATAAAGGAAGACAAAACTGTATTCGATCAAAGAAAGAAGATGCCAATAAAGAAGAGAATCAACCAAAGAAGCATGCCTAATGGACAACACTAACAACCAAAAACAGATGATGAGAGAAACAGGGAAAAAGAACTATTGAACAGGAGTGTGGGTTGCCAAAGGGCAGAGGGAATGTAGCTGTACCATGCAAAATGAAAAGTTATGGTAACTCACTGTTATTAGGAATAGAAACTAAGGTATGCAAACTAGATCAACTGGCTATTAAAGGGTGCTGTATGCTAAGCCAGAAAATTAAAATGATGAGAGAACTATCAAAATGTATCAAGTTATTGACAGTTATGTATTTATTAACTTTATTTATTTATATTTAGTTACCCCTTCTTATTCTTATCCATCCTCCTAGAATGGTGTGCATGATCCAATGCTTTGTCAAAATGGTAAAAACAGGGTTGCACCATTGCAATGCTACCTCTGCCTCTGTTATGTGTGAATCATGATATTGTACACAAAAATGAAAGAAGAACCTACATATAGAGGTAGGAGAACTGAGAAAAGGCTAAAAGATACCTTCCACTGATATATTTTTGAAAGAAGAGGCTCTTGGTCTCTGGAACTATTGTATCTTCCAACTTCTCTAGAGTATATATTGTGGGTTTGACTGCACTGGCAAACATTTATTTCACTGAAGCATGGTAAAACTTATCACAACAGCTTTAAACTGAATCTTATGATGGTTGGAGACAAAACTGTCTAATGGAAGGATCTCAGATAAAGACATGTGTAAGTAGTCCTCGACTTATGACTACTCATTTAGCATCTGTTTGAAGTTATGATGGTACTGAACAACCTGGGCCTGAAGTTACAGCTGTTGCAATATCCCTATGGTCACATGATTTGACTTACAACCACAGGGGCATTCAACTCCCCATATCCACCTTCCACCCCCATCTCTGCCCTTCTGGGTGCCCTTCCTTCTGCAACATAATAACCCTGTTATTATGGACCACCCCTGCTCCAGGTAACTTTGTGTTTTTCCTCCTGCTGGGTGGCCTGGGATCCAGGCACTGGATGAGGGGACAGCACTGGGATGCACATGGTGAGGGTGCAAAGAGGTGCTGGCACTTTCTTGAGTGGAGGGTGCTATGTGGGTGGAGGAAAAACTGGAGGAAGTGGAGGGGCATGGCCTTCCAAGAGGTGCAGTGCACACTCTGCAGCTGATGTTGCAAACACTCTTTGAAAATGGGCCTGAAGGCTTTAATGAGGGGTGGAGGAAATCTCAGCATTGACAGAATCTACCCATTCTTGGCCCAGTCTTCTTTCTGCAAAGCAGGCAAAATTCCAGAGGTGGGCATGCAGAATACTCTAACCAATAACAAGGAAAATGGCATGTGACATTGTCCAATCAAGCAGATGTACATGTGAACTTTCTCCAATCGCATTGCTTATTAATGCACATGGGAGTGACCAGTGCATAAGTGTTCAAGTTGGGCAATGCAGAGAAGAAAGCAGTTTGTTTGCCAAATGTAAAATCTCTGCACCAGCTTGCATCCTCTTTTATGTTTTGTACCTTTCCTTATTCCCTCAGGTAAAAGTTCTGTCTTTTCTATGTAAACACCAACTACTGCAGCTAAACTAAAGAAATCCCCAGCAATGCAGCAGAGGCAGCACTAGCCGACAGGGAGGAAGGAGTGGCATAGTTGTAAGCTTTTAAGTCTTGATTGAGGTGTGGGGGCACCTGCTGCCTTAGCCGGCGATGCTTGTGACTCAGGGACACATCTGCCATTACCAATGTCCTGAACGGCCATGGGCCCCAGATACCCTGCAAGAAGACTTTGTCTGCTTAGCTATCCCAATATCCACAATGATGCCCACGCACTGCCACACGTGCTGAGCCATAATTATTTTCCCTTGGAGGAGGGAGATAAAGTGGGTATGGGGAGTTGAAGTGACTGTATTTCTTCTGTGGCAGCACAGAAGAAGCACGTGGTAAGAAGAGAAATGGGAAAGGGGAAAAAAAGTATGAGGCTGCTTAATGGAAAACTACTCAAACTCCAGTTTAATTTGATGTTCTTCAACAAGAAAATATGTCTTTCACTAGGCAATTGTGAAGAGCAGAATACAGAGGCATGATTGAAGCTTGGGAATAACAGAAGCAGAATCAGCAAATTGAACTAACCCTGGATGAGTTTTAAAATTTAGAGCCAAATGAATTGCTGATATGGTATTGTCGGAACTTGCTGATGGTCTGGGTGAAATTTTATTACTATATCTTTGATGAATCCTAAACAAAAGCTGATGTGTCAGACGGGAGGAATGCAAATATTTTGCTTGTCCTCAAAATTGGGGAAACAGGGACACAGGAAAATACAGTCAGGCGTCCATACACAATCATGATGATCAGCAAAACACATTGAAACCAAGCAATTACTACAATCCATTATGCATTTGTTAAGAACAAGTCACACTGGATTAACACTGTCCCTGACAAGGAAACAAATTACATGTAAATAGATGTACAACTGGTTCAAAAATGTTATGTAAAGCATATTCAACTCATGAAACTGTATGAGGAATTGATACTTCTCTTAAAGAAAGAGTTCCACAAGCAGAGCATTTTCAGACGGAGCAATGAGTATAATCAGGAGACCTGAAACTAGATCCTAAGTTGAATGAAGGAAGATTTAAGCAATATTAATTTTGAAAAGTTAAAACTGAGACGATATGTTAGAATACTTCAAAATATCTTAAATATCCAAACAGGAGAAAACTAAGAAAAATGATTAACATTTATAGGTTTTGTTAAAAAATAATTATAGCTGTTTGATAGTGTTATTAATAAATCAAAGAGGTTATGGGTTTCCTACAGTGGAATGCAATCAATCAGAGACTGGAAGCTATATTTTGTGAGTGTTCTGATTTGGATTATGGCATGGAAATAGAAGATTATATGAGCTCTTCAAACATATGATTCTTAGGTAAATTTGCAATTTTTCTTCACTATGTTTTACTGCAGGGGTGTCAAACTGCCAGCCTGCGGGCCGGACACATCATCTGGAAGCCACGCCCATCCCATTGTTGGCAATGGCAAAACCATCCCGATACGTCGTGTGACGTCACGTGATGTCGTGAGTTTGACATATCTGTACTGTAAGAAAACTATTCCTTTGTACAATGAAATTTCAGTTATAGAAAGCCAGATTCTGTTAGGGGAAAATATAACAGTCACTTAGTATCAGAAATAATTACTCTGGTTATTAGCCTTCACTGGAATGCCTTTAAACAGAGGCTATTGTGAATGTTTAAATTGTATTCCTGCATGGAATGGGAAACTGGATTTTTCCTTTATATTATTTATTGTATTATTATAAAACATAAGTAATATTTTATATTATTTGGGTTCAGTGGTATTTATTCAGTGTTGACTGGAGATTATTAATACTCTGATGTTTAGAAAACTCAAACCCTTATAGATAAAAATAATTTTATATCAATATGAACTATGATTTCTAAATTGTTAACATTGATAACCATAAAGTTATTTAAATTTTACACCCAAAGCTAAATGTGGAATTAATTAACAATTGTAAAATACCAGAAAACATCCAGAAGTTTGGGTATTACAAAATACCAGAATCTGTTGATTCTAAGGATTTTTTTTATTGACTCAGAAAATATTTCCCAACAGAAGATTGTTGTGATTAGCTGGAAGAATATATATATATATATATATATATATATGAAGCATCATTCATGCTGGGGCCTTTCAAAGACAGATGCGCAAAGTTTTCATGATAACCAGTGGGGAAATTTTAAATAAAAAGAATGCATAGTTAGAATTTTGTTACAGAATTAAATATAGACAATTTGGAATTTCAGCAATATTCAGTGATGTATATTTTCTAGTCCCAAAGAGTTTGCTTATGTTGGACAACCTGCTTTCCATTTTACTTCT